CACCCTGGCCTCCGGCTGTTTCTCCCAGCTCCCATACATCATGCCCTCAACAAACTTCACATCCCTGCTGTCAAACAACACACCCTTGGAAGGCTCCCATAGCAGCCATCCCTTGCTCTCAGCAGCCAGCCCCAAATGCACACACCAGATTGCACTCGCCCCCAACTTACTGCGGTAGGTCTTGGGGACGTGGGCGACTGCCATGCAACCGAACACCCTCAGCATGTCCACCGGCGGCTTCCTCCCAAGCCACCTCTCCAACGGCACCCACGAGTCATCCCCAACCTTTGTGAGTACCCTGTTCCTAGCGACGGTAGCGTGCCGAACAGCATGGGGCCACATCAAGTTGCCCAGCCCAGATTCTATGAGCAGCGCCCTAGCTGTCTCCAGAATTGTCCGGTTCGCCCGTTCTGCTACACCGTTGGACTGTGGGGTGTAAGCCGTGGTCAGCTCCCTCTGGATGCCCTGCTTCTTGAGCCAGGCCGTCATCTCAGCTCCAAGGAACTCACCACCCCGATCTGTCCTAATCCGCTTCACCACACACTCCGCTTGCTTCTCCACGAACGGCAGCCAATTGTCCCAAATTGTGGAGGTGGCGTGATCTCTCTGCTTCAGCGGATACGCCCACATTAGCCTGCTCCAGTCATCCACTATGGTTAGGAAGTACCGCTCCCCCTTGTGCCCTTGCACCGGCAGCGGCCCCACCAAGTCCATGTGGACCAGCTCCAACGGCTTTTTGCTCCTGCCAGCCACACTATGGAAGGGGACACGGGTGAACTTTGAAAGGAGGCAAATTTCACAGTTATCATCGGGTGTTTGTCCGTTCAGCTTCAAGCCCTTAACGGCCCCATCCTTCTCCAGCTGCTTCAGCAAAGGCATTGCCACATGCCCCAAACGTCGGTGTGTAGTTGCCCAATCCGTCTCCCAAGATCTGGCCGACACTTTCACACCAACCCCTCCAACGGCGTTGCACTCCCCCTGGGATGCAGACCCCTCTCCAGCCTGCCCCCCACCATGCCACGCCAACGCCGGCAGCTGCCACATGGATTTGTACACGTCCGTACTCTCGTGCAGATCCCAAAGCACCCGATTGCCCAGCTGCCCCTTGTAAGTGCGTGCCCCATCCGTGCTAGTGCTCACCCCAGCCTTGCCAAGCTTACGGAGGGAGATGAGGTTGGCCTTGAGTTCAGGAACAAGGAGAACGTCGTGCAGCACCACCGGCTTGCCATCCGCTCCCTTAAACGCAGCTCGTCCCGCACCAGCCACCTTCAGCGCGTGTCCAGAGGCGGAGCACACCTCGTTGATCGGTGCAGCTTGTACGTGGTCCAGTAGGTCTTTTCGCGGCGTCATCGTCCAAGCAGCGCCCGTGTCCAACACCCAATAATCCAGGGGGTGCAGCTCTGCTCCAACCTTGGCAGAGGCGTCTCCTTGCTCCCCCTTGTCTCCCATATGGAAGAATTGGCCCGCGTTGCGCTCCTTCTTCTTCTCCGCACCGCCGTTGCCTTTCGGGTTGTTGCCGGACGAATCAGCGACCATGTTGGCGCCGTTTTTCTGGTTCCTCCGCGCGCCGCCATCCTGGTGACGATTCTGGGGGGTCCATCCTGTTGGTGTAAGGGCCTAATAAACTCAAGCTATTAAGACTTTATCAGACTTAAAACCTCTCCTCGGGGTCACCTCCAAGGGTCCTTGGGTGCCTGGTACAAGACCAGCCCCTCTCCTCGGGTCCCAGTTTGTAGAGAGAGGGATCAAGAGGGACTTAGTCAAAACAGCAAGAGTACCTTGAACGTCGCGCAGCGTATCGTGCAGACCGTATATCGGATTAAGCTGGGAGTTTACTATATCGAAGCTCTCTCTAAGAGCTTTAAAATAAGCCAAGTTGCCTCGCGAAAAGTTTTGCCATTACGAAGTTATGGCTCTGGAGGAGACGGCAACGGGACACGCAGAGGAGCAATGGAAGGACGCAGCGCCATCTGGTGTGTGCTGGGGACCGCAGGAAGACGCGGACGCGCAGTACGACCACTAGTGCGAGCAGCACGAACAGGCGACGCAGGACGAGATGCAGGCTCACGACGCTCAGCAAGACCTCCAGTAGGACCAGTGTAGGGAGAAGGAGCAGGTAGAGGGGAGGCGGGCTGTAACTGTGACTGCAACTGGATAGGCTGTGGACACTCCAAGGGAGGAGCACGACCAGTAGAGGGCCGGAGACCAAGAACCTGCTCTAGGAGCGGAACGAAGTACGGCCTCGGCCGCGCAGCGCCTCCAGAACCAGCAAGAACAGCACCGGTACCCCCAGCGGCAGCACCAGCGCCAGAAGCACCTCCAGCTCCAACTCCACACCCTCAGAAGCACTAGCGCCAGCAGCACCGCCAGCGCCAACACCCCCTGCAGCTCCAGCTCCAGCAGCTCCAGCTCCAGCAGCACCAGCTCTAGTAGGACCGTCAGCTCCAGCAGCCTCAGCAGCACCCCCAGACGCACCAACACCAGTAGAAACACCAGCGCCAACACCCCCAGCGGCTCCAGGACCGCTAGTACGAGCACCTCCGGGACTAGCAACAACAGTAGCACCTCCAGCTCCATCAGTGTTGGTGTAAGGGCCTAATAAACTCAAGCTATTAAGACTTTATCAAACTTAAAACCTCTCCTCGGGGTCACCTCCAAGGGTCCTTGGGTGCCTGGTACAAGACCAGCCCCTATCCTCGGGTCCGAGTTTGTAGAGAGAGGGATCAAGAGGGACTTAGTCAAAACAGCAAGAGTACCTTGAACGTCGCGCAGCGTATCGTGCAGACCGTAGATCGGATTAAGCTGGGAGTTTACTATATCGAAGCTCACTCTAAGAGCTTTTAAATAAGCCAAGTTACCTTGCGAAAAGTTCTGCCATGACGAAGTTATGGCTCGGACAGCGTTTGCCTAGCGTTAGAGTGCTAGCGTACTAGTGTTGACTCGGGTAGCATTTCGCCGTCGCACCGCGTAGAGCTGCAGGTCAACAACAGTGCGGCACCCCCGAAGTCAAAATGGGAATCGCCAGTAGCCGTGGATCAACCTGGCGATCATGAAAAGATCCGGAAAAAAAGCGAAAAGGCGACGACGTGGCGACTTTCGAGCAGGCGAAAAAAGGAGATCATGATGGCGTGAATTTAAAACGTCACGACCGGTCCGCAACAGAGGAAATCACCGAGGCAAATGGAGGCTCCGCGAAACAAGACTCTGCACCGACCGGGAAACTCCAGCCGAACACCCCCGAGAGTAAGAATATTACTTCTGGTGGTTTTCAAGCCTTTGAAAGAATCAGGGGAGACTTATGTCAGGCATATATGCTATAGTCTGTGTAGGCTGTAGTGGGGCAGTTCATATGGGGTACAACACTTTAGGGTTTACTACTTGTACTCCTCATTCTGCTCAATGCATTCATTCTTCGTTTCTTATCATGGTACAGAGCAGGTTCCCAAGTGGGAACGCTACCTAGGGCCCACCACGATTTTTTTTCGTGCCCGGAGCGCACTTCACTCCTGCCCGAGTAGCGCTCTGTGTGCCCTCCCTACCTTCGCGCCGCCCTTAGTGGCCCCTCTCATGGCCCTTTACGCCGCCCTTACGGCCCCTAGCACCGCCCTCTACGGCCCCTCGCGTTGCCCTTACGGCCCCTTACGGCCCCTCGCGCTGCCTTTACGGCCCCTTACGGCCCCTCGCGCCGCCCTTACGGCCCTCGCGCGGCCCCCTTTCGGCCCCTCACGGCCCCGTCGCCGCCCCGTTTAGGCCCCTTGTGGCCCCTCTTCGGCCCCGTCTAGGCCCCTTGCGGCCCCTCTGCGGCCCCTCTGCGACCCCGTTGCTGCCATCTGCGGCCCCGTCGCCGCCACCTGCGGCCCCGTCGCCGTCACCTGTGGCCCCGTCGCCGCCACCTGCGGCCACGATGCCGCCACCTGCGGCCCCGCCGCTACCTGCGGCCCCGTCGTCGCCACTTGCGGCCCCGTCGCCGCCACCTGCGGCCCCGTCGCCGTCACCTGCGGCCCCGTCGCTGCCACCTGCGGCCACGCAGCCGCCACATGCGGCCCCGTAGCCGCCACCTGCGGCCTCGTCGCCGCCACCTGCGGCCCCGTCGCCGTCACCTGCGGCCCCGTCGCCCTCCCCTAGCGGCCACGTCGGCGCCTCTACCGGCCCTGTCACCGCTCAGCCGCCCAGCGACCAATACGCCGAGCAGCCCAGCAGCCGAGTCGCCCACCAGCCTAGCAGCCGAGCCGCCAAGCAGCCCAGCAGCCGAGCCGCCCACAAGCCCAGCAGCCGAGCCGCCCAGCAGCCGCGCCGCCCAGCAGCTGAGCCGCCCACCTGCCGAGCAACCGAGCCGCCCAGCAGCCGAGCCGCCGAGCCGCTGAGCCGCCCAGCAGCCGAGCCGCCCAGCAGCCGAGCCGCCCTGCCGCCGAGCCGCCGAGCCGCCGAGCAGCCGAGCCGCCCTACCGCCGAACCGCCGAGCCGCCCTACTGTCGAGCCGCTACTGTTCCCACCGGTGCGCCCCGGCCCTCCTTCCCCGGACTGGTGAGCTCACTCCCTACTAGGCCACTGCAGTCATGGCTAACACCAGTGTCCTTACTTTTGATGCTGAGGGCCGTGCTGTTGACTTTGAGGTCTGGGTCGATGACCTCCAGCTGTTTCTCCAGTGCGATAGGGCAGACCTCTCTGTTCGATCTCACCTCTGGTGTCTCTCCTGCCCCGCCTGCTACTGCTGACAGCACTGTTCGCTCATAGTGGGCCACACCCGATGCTGCTGCTCGCCTTGCTGTGCGTCGCCACTTACCGACCACTGAGCGTGCAAACTTTAGCCAGTACAAGAGTGCTCAGACCTTGTACGACGCTGTAGTTGCACGCTACTCTTCCCTTGCCACTGCTGCACTGAGCCGCCTCATGCTACCGTATCTCTTCCCTGACCTTGCTGCCTTTCCCACAGTCGCTGACCTCATTACGCACCTCCGCACTAGTGACACTCGCTACCACGCTGCGCTTCCTGCTGAGTTATGCGCCAAGAACCCCCCCCCATGTACATCACCCTCTACTACATAGTCACCTGGCTCCCTGACTCTCTTCGCGTAGTCAGGGACCACTTCCTCTCAGTTTGCCCCACCACTCTCACCGTTGACCTCCTCAAGAAGGGCCTCCTAGCAGCAGAGAAGAGCATCGATGCTATAGGAGCCTCTCGTGGTGACCCTTGCACCCCCGTCTTTGAGGGGTGTTCCCCCTCCCCCCTCTTGCTCTCTGTTGCTTCTACTGCTGCGGCCGACCTCGTTGGTTTCGAGTCGGTCGGCGCTGCGTCTGCCCCTAGCGGGAGACGCCGCACCGGCAAGGGCAAGGGGGGCAAGGGCGCTAGAAGGGCTGGCGGGGGCGGTGGAGGTGGTGGTGGAGGCAGTGGAGGGGGTGGAAGTGGTGGTGGGAGTGGTGGCGGGGGTGGCGGCGGCGGCGGCAGCAGTGGAGGCGGAGGAGGCGGCGGTGGTGGCAGAGGGAGCGGAGGCGGTGGAGGTGGCGGAGGAGGCGGAGGTGGAGGAGGCGGCGGAGGCGGCGGCGACGGCGGCGGCGGCGGTGGAGCGGGTCGCGACTCTGCGCAGAGGAGTGGCTCAGGTGGTGGTCCGCGCCAGCAGCAACGGAGTGGTGTGACCCTGTCCCCTCAGCAGCTTCGTGAGTGGTACGCTCCGCGTCAGCGCGGTGGGGGTACTGGTCCCTGCACTTACGTCCTCCGTACCGGTGACCGAGCTGGTGAGCAGTGCGAGGGCCCGCACTCCACCCAGCGCTGCTTCGGCCGCCTGACGGACGCGTGGCGTTGCCAGTTCCCTGAGGCGTCTGAGCTCCCTCGCTGGGGAGATCGGTCAAGGGCGGGGGTTGCCATCTTTGATCTTGACTATGATGCTATCCTTGCTGCCATGTATTCTGTGACTACTAGAGTTGAGGGTGACTGTTACCTGTGTGTACCGCATGACCCGGGCATTGAGGCCACTGCTCTAGGTGCTGGTGAGGCTGCTGCTCTAGGTGCTAGTGCTTCTGCTAGCCCAGGTGCTAGTGCGTCTGCTGCCCTAGGTGCTGGTGAGTCTGATCTTTCAGGTACTACGTCGGCTCAGGCCTTACACAACTTCACCCTTGACTCGGGTGCATCCTGCTCCTTCTTTCGAGACCGCACCACTCTTACGCCACTCTGTCGGCCGGTTGTAGTCTCCCTGGCGGACCCCTCTCGGGGTCCTGTCTGTTGGGTGCAAATTCACATTGCACGACATCCTGCCGTCTGTTTGTACGAGTATGCGTGTGCGAATGCATTTGGGTATGAATGGAATGTTCGTGTATTCGTTTGCTTTCGCAATTTTTGCGTGAAGCATTTGCAGGTACTCACGCATTGTGCGATTCGGCATAACATTGTACGCGCTATAAACAGTACAAGCTGAAAGGACGAGCTTGCAAAGGAACCCAAGATGGAAGCTTTGCTGTTCAACTCACTTGATTGCGCAGATTCAGTTCTATCCAACTCGAAATTGTACTGTTTTGTTTGGTTGAATATAGTGTAGCAGGGCAGGCACTATAGGGGTACAATTTAGGTGAAGGTTGGATGTTGTTTGTCTGTATCTGCATGCTACAGGGCCAGGGGAAACCAGCGGAACCAGCATTTGGCTGGTTGGGCAAAGACAAAACAGGTTCTGTTTTTAGGACCTGAACCTGGTTGTTGTTTTCCCAGGTTGGAAAAACAGAACCAGAGGTTGTTTACCAACCTACCACCTGCTGTTTTGTCCAGCCAGGTTGGTTCTGTTGCTTGGAATTATTTGGGATCATCCCTAGTTGTTCCCAGGTTTATTCCCAAGGTCCTTGCTAGCTAGAACTTTATATTCCTTCTCTGTTTGTACCTGAATATAGTGAAATTGATTCAAGCGAATTCCTTCCTTGCTGGAATTTCCTTTCTACGCGGTGCGACGGCGGAATGCTACCTGTGTCAACGCTAGTACGCTAGCACTCCAACGCTAGGCTAACGCTGTCCGAGCCATAACTTCGTAATGGCAGAACTTTTCGCGAGGCAACTTGGTTCATTTTAAAGCTCTTGGAGCGAGCTTCGATATAGGAAATTCTCGGCTTAATCCGGTCGACGGTCTGCACGATACGCTGCGCGACGTTCAAGGTACTCTTGCTGTTTTGACTAGGTCCCTCTTGATCCCGCTCTCTACAAACTCGGACCCAAGGATAGGGGCTGGTCTTGTACCAGGCACCCAAGGACCCTTGGAGGTGACCCCGAGGAGAGGTTTTAAGTGTGATAAAGACTTAATGGCTTGAGTTTATTAGGCCCTTACACCAACAAGCTGGTTTCAGAGCTGCGTTATAGTGATCCTCGTTATAGGTAACTATGGCGGGCAACACCTCGGCGGTAGCTGGTAAATCTTCAGCCCAAGATCGTAGCGGAAGCCATGATTCTGGTGTTTCAGTGCCAAGGGGAGCGCGAACAAACCAGAGCTCGCTAGTCAAGGAGGTGCTGAAGAATTTCACCGTCGAGAAGTTCAATGGTGAGGGCTATGATGATTGGGCCTGGAAAATGCAACTCTATTTCCGTCAGATTGGATTGCTGAAACTAATGAGTGGGGAGGAGCCTAGACCGAGTGACCCCGCGCTGCAGGAAGATTGGGACGAGCGCTCCTCGGCTGGCTACTATTTGATGTCGCAAAGATTGGAGCTGAACCAGCGTCACCACGTCATGCACCTGCTGCCGGAGGTTGAGTGCGGTCCGAAGGCGTGGACCGTGTTGAAGGAGCTGCACGCCCCGACCTTCGTTGTTGCAACGTTGATGCTGGAGAGGGAGCTTTCCGCGTTGCGCCTGAGCGAGGGAGAGCCGCTGCAACCTGTCCTGGACAAATTGCGCGACCTCTACGCGAAGTTGGCGACCGCGAGAATCACCTACCCGGAGCAGACCAAGTGCCTGAAGATGCTCTCGCTGCTGCCGGAATCGTGGCTTCAATTCACGAGCGGATTGAGCCTGCCACAGATCCAGAGCTCATGGACACTCGAGTGGGTGCGGACAAAGATTATGGAGGAGGACTTCCGTCGCCGCCAACTGAGGGGTGGAGACGACGGCAGCAGCAGCTATGGGATGCAAGGACGCCGACGTGGCAGAGGACGTGGCTTTGGTGGTGCTGGACGCGGTGCAAAGAAGGACGACGACTCCAACGACCAAGGAGGTACCGGTTGGGGGCAAGTCGGGTGCTGGTGGCAAAATGAAAGGGAGTTGCTGGTATCGTGAGAAGGAGGGGCACCCCTGGTTTTTGTGCTATAAGAAACCCGATGAATGGACCCCCCAGAATCGTCACTAGAATGGCGGCGCGCGGAGGAACCAGAAAAACGGCGCGAGCATGGTCGCCGATTCGTCCGACAACAACCCGAAGAGCAACGGCGGTGCGGAAAAGAAGAAGGGTCATGGAGCAGGCTTATGTGCCCACATAAGCCTGCTCCAATATGCCCACATAAGCCATTGGATATGCCCACATATGCCATATATGCCATATGCCCAATCATCCACTATGGCATATGTGGGCTTATGTGGGCATATTGGAGCAGGCTTATGTGGGCATATCCGCTGAAGCAGAAGGAACATGCCGCCTCTACGATACGGGAAGATTGGCTGCCATTCGTGGAGAAGCAAGCGAATGTGTGGTGAAGCGGATTAGGACAGATCGGGGTGGTGAGTTCCTTGGAGCTGAGATGATGGCCTGGCTCAAGAAGCAGGGCATCCAGAGGGAGCTGACCACGGCCTACACCCCACAGTCTAACGGAGTAGCAAAACGGGCGAACCGGACAATTCTGGAGACAGCTAGGGCGCTGCTCATAGAATCTGGGCTGGGCAACTTGATGTGGCCCCATGCTGTTCGGCACGCTACCGTCGCTAGAAACAGGGTACTCACAAAGGTTGGGGATGACTCGTGGGTGCCGTTGGAGAGGTGGCTTGGGAGGAAGCCGCCGGTGGACATGCTGAGGGTGTTCGGTTGCATGGCAGTCGCCCACGTCCCCAAGACCTACCGCAGTAAGTTGGGGGCGAGTGCAATCTGGTGTGTGCATTTGGGGCTGGCTGCTGAGAGCAAGGGATGACTGCTGTGGGAACCTTCCAAGGGTGTGTTGTTTGACAGCAGGGATGTGAAGTTTGTTGAGGGCATGATGTATGGGAGCTGGGAGAAACAGCCGGAGGCCAGGGTGTCCCAGCAGATGGAGCAGATCACCATGCAGCTGGACCTGACTCCTACTGTATGGGAGGAGGGAGAGGAGGCAGCTGCAGAGGGTGGTGATAGAAAGAAGGTACAGGAGGCACCTGCTGGTGGAGAAAATGATGGTGTGGAGACTAGCGGTAGCACTAGTAGAGCTGCTGGATCCGAGGGAGGAGAGCAGCAGCAGGAGAAAACTAAGAAGCCGAAGGGTGTCGTTATGAAGGGATGGGAGACACCCGTCTCCAGGCCAGGACGTACCCGTATGGCTACTAAGAAGCTGACTGCAGGAGCTGATGTAGCGGAGCAGCAGCTTGGGACCGAGGAGGCATTACTGATTCTACCGCATGGCTATGATCCGGATGAGGAGGATGAACCTGCCTACTGTTTTCTTGCCCCTGCACCAGAGGAACCAGCTAGCATGGAGGAGGCATTAGCTGGACCAGATAGGGAGAAGTAGCTGGTTTCCTGGGATGCTGATTACCAGAGCCTGCTAGAGAATGGGACATAGGAGCTGGTGGTGCTGCCTGAGGGGAAGAAAGCCGTACAGTGCAAATGGGTGCTAAGGATCAAGACCGATGACAAGGGACAGGTCACCATCTACAAGAGTAGGCTGGTGGCTAAGGGGTTTATGCAGAAGGAGAAGCGGGACTTCAATGAGATCTTTGCTCCCACTGCCAAACCCCCTACCCTCCGTGTCTTGTTGGCAGATGCAACCGTTAGTGGGAAATTCATGATTCAGATGGATATATCAACGGCATTCCTCAATGGGATCTTAAAGGAGGATGTGTACATGACGCAGCCACCTGGGTATGAGGATGGTACGGGCAGGGTGTGCAAGCTGAAAAAACCCATCTACGGCTTGAAGCAGGCGCCACGCTGCTGGTACCAGAAGCTGGCAGCTGTTTTAGAGGAGATGGGATTCAAGACCAGCAGCTGTGATGAGAGCCTCTTTCTCAAGGGGGAGGGGGAGAAGCTGGTGCTGTTTCTGGTCTATGTGGATGACATTCTTCTCTTTAGCAGCAGCTTGAAGGAGATCCAGAAGGTGCAGCAGCAGCAGATGGAGAACTTCAAGTGCAAGAACCTTGGGGAGGTAAAGTACTACCTCGGGATGCACGTGGAGAGGGATCTGGATCACAGGTGGTTGAAGCTGCACCAGGAGAAGTTCATCAAGGAGCTGGGAGAGAAGTACGGGATTGAGAATGAGCGCAAGGTTGCAACTTCCCTGCCAGCAGAATTCAAGCTTGTGAAAGCTGCAGAGGATGAAGGGGTTGAAGCCGAGGAGCAGCTGCAATTTCAGTCCTTGGTGGGCAGCCTCTTATATGCAGCAGTTCACACGAGGCCCGACTCTTTCTCGGTTGGGCAGCTGGCTAGGGTGGTGCAGAATCCATCAGAGGAGCAGGTGGATGCAGCTGAGCGTGTGGTGAAGTATCTAATCTCTCACCCAAGCATTGGAGTTCAATACTCCGCATCTGCACAGGTGAAGCAGAAAGGGGTTGAGGTGCTGAAAGAGAAGGGGGAGAGGCTTGGAGAAGGCAAGCTTTTTCTCACTTGCTTTACCGATGCTACGTGGGCCTCTGAGAAGGAGGATTCCTCATCTGTGGGAGGATACATCTGCGTAGTTGGGGGAGGACCGGTTAGTTGGAGGTCAAAGAAGCAGACGGAGACAGCACTCTCTTCCGTGGAGTCAGAGTACATGGCAATGTTTCATGGGGTGAAGGAGGTGATTTGGCTGAGGAGGTTGTTAGAGGAGATTGGTCAGGAGCAAAAGGTTGCTACGCCGCTCTTTGGCAATAGCAAGGGGGCTCTTGGGATGGCCAGGAACGCTGTGCTTCATGGGCTGAACAAGCACATGCGTATCAAGTGGCATTGGCTGCGTAAGGAGGTGAAGAGTCAACACGCCAAGAGTCGATGTCCTGCTGCGCCGCAAAATTCACATATCTTGTATTTTGTCGGCCGCTGCGTTGCGTCAATCTTGTCGATATCCATCGGGTCGGCGGTCGTGGGTGGTGCCGATCGCTTCGTGTCGAATGATCTGTTCGGCATGTGGCGTCGTGTCTCGGGTTGATCTCGCGTCAGCGCATCGAATGTCTCTGCTGCACACACCATATCGTGGTGGCTGTTGTAGTTCGCGGCAATCATCTGTCGGCGAAATTCCATTTTTAACCCCTTGGTATACGCTTCA